CTTGTTTGTTGTGTGGGTGTCTATTTTTGTCAGTGAGGTTGACGGTTGGACAAGATGATCTTTAAGGTCCCTTCCAACCTAGAAGATTCTGTGATTCTGTGACTTCCCACCACCTCTAGCACAACTTCCACCAAATCATTAAGGAGATAATTTTTATCAGCAGATTTATCCCTTAGAACTTTGTGCCTAAGAATCCCCTGGGAGTTCCAGCGATGTGCCCCCCTTGTAGTGTTAGGTCGACGTGTACAGCAGCCAGGGAAAAAAAGTGAAAACCCAAAAGTGGTAGTGACCCACACCCCCCCAGCCCCTCCTTACCGCTGAATACACTCCTGCACCACCTCATACTGCCCGACAGAGGAGGCCGTATGCAAGTCCAGGGGAACGTCCAGCTCTTCCCTGCAGATCATCTGCCCGACCCCGTGCCACATGGACAGGCTGCGGCTCAGCAGCTCCGACTCGCTGGCTTCGTCGCTCAGCTCCGACATCCTCCCTGAGCAACCAAAGCAAAGCAGAACTTCTAGCTGCAGAGCTCCATTTTCCACAGCTCACAGCACCACTCCTCGGCGCTACAGCTCTAAGGTGCCATGGGTTTGGGAGGTGAGGTCATCTCAGAGGTATAATATTTCAAATTCCTACCTTTAGATTGCCTCTTTAGCCTGAAGCAATAAGACTTGCTGAGGAGTTTTCGCCGGCAGTTCTTTCTTGCTGCAGCAGACTCTGGGATTTGAATACACTGGAAAAATAAAAGCCAATAATGCTAAAAAAAACCCCCCATCTTTCAAATCTCATTTTAAGACTTCAGAACCACTGGCTTTATCTCCCCTTCTAATCAAAATATGCCTAAGGCAGCTTTGGATACCCTCATCAAGAGAAGACTAAACACCTATTTAAGTGCTGATGGCACGCTTAGTGTTATACAAAAGGATGTAATTCTTGGTCTGCATGTTTTACATTTCAGAGAACGAATTAAGAATTCACATGTCAGATGTTCCTGGTCTTCCTCCTTATCTGTCTTAAATTACAGGATGGCCCTGCCTAAATTAAGACACAGTCATTAATAATGACAACTGTCCACTGCTCTCAGAAGTAGTTAACATCGCCTGAAGAAGGTGCCCACTTCATTATGTCATCAAGTTGTAAGTAGATTGTTTCTACCATTTATTGTTTCAGCACTTCAGGAGCAGCCTTCTCCTGTCTCTGTGAATCTTGGAAATTGCCGAAACACCTCGAGCAGCAGCGCACCTGCCCATTCATTATCCGAGCATGGCCCTCGTCCTGCAGACAGTAACTTAATTACAAAGCCAGCACAGCTTCATGACTGTCTGAAAGGTTTATTTCCCAACCCTAGCCTTAAGGAGCAATTGCATATTAATCATTTTAACCACTCATAGGAGAGTGTTCTTGTTGGGCACTTCATAAAAAGCTGTTTGCTGCAGCTGCATCTATCACCCAAGCTCTTCAGCTGTGATTCCAGGCTACATCCCAGGCAATCCAGTGGGAAGCGTGTTCCCCTTCCTGTGGTCTCACTTGGGGGGTTTGCCTGGTCCCACTCGCTATTACATTGGGCAGCTAAGCCAACATAAAGTATTCTTTCTTTTTCCTGATAATTTCTTGCCACTTTAACTCCAGACCAATTCATTCTGGGGTCGTGCAAATGCCAAATTTGGCACTGGTGAAGAATAAAAGAGAGCAGGAACACGTTTTTCAGCAGCAGTTGCTTTTTAGATTGCCTCAGCTCTAACATTTCAGACCTTTATTTCTATTTTCTAAAGAATTGGGAGTCTTTGTTTTGCAAGCACCAGCGCCTTTTCTCATAACATAAGCAAAACGCCTTTAATTCCTACCTTCTCACTCCCCATCTGGATCTTTTCTCCCACACCTTGCTTCTTTTTCCCCTCCTCCTCCTCCTCCAGTTTGTTACGACACCAAAAGCCCCATCCATTCTGCCTAATCAGTGTGTGCTGGTAATAAATTATTCCTTTCTTAAGATATCTGCAAAAGCACCTATTTTACCTAATAGCAGCGATTTGTATTACACTGGCAGCCCGGAGGCCTCCGGCAAAAATATGCAGGGCTGAACACAAATGAAAGACCTGAACACCTCACAATCCAAACACAAGGAGATACAAGTGGATTGAAGTGGATCATAAGGGGGAAAAGTAGGAGTGTTTCTCACTACAACAGATTAAAGCTGCCCCTGGAAGGCCAAAAGGTATGTTGCTTGTTAGTTAAAGGATGTACAATCCAGGGCAGTTTTGTTTTCTCTGCAGATCTCTTCGTTAATTGGACATGTTAACTACAGACCCCACAGATGTTTAGTCTTCCTCAAAATCAGCTCCACATCAGGTCCCAGTTAATAACTCTGGCAAACTGATCCAGAGTCAACAGGGCAATACTGACACAACAGAAAGGTTATGCTTGATGCTGGAATATTCAAGACCCTCAGCCTCATTCCTAGATGCTCTAACTGCCTACTTTTTTGCCTTTGCTTTTTTTTTTTTACTCTGAGATTTCACCCCAGCCTGAATGGGAGGACGATGCCAGCTGTGCAAGCACCTGAGAAAATGCAGAGTATTTTCAAATACAGCTGAACAGAATTTACAGGAGAACAAGAGAAGCAATCAGAGCCCTAAGGACTGAAATGAAAAGACTGGGTGAAATGAAGTCAGGGTTGTCTGGGCTAAAAAGGAGATGCCTGGAGGGGACGTGTGATAAAAATCTTCAAATAGATAAATGGTTGCTGCAGAGAGGAGGAGAGAAATAATCTGTTCCTTGTGGCCATGGTCAATATGACAGGATGTAACAGGCTTAAGTTGTAGCATAGAAGATTTTGGTTAAAGACCACAAAAAACCTTGTAAAAGAAGAAAAAACACAGAAGCACTGAGATGGATCACCAGCAGAGGGTTGGCTGCTAAGAATGAACTAGACAAACACCCCCTGAACATTTACAGGCTGTTCTTGCTTTGAGGCAGAGCAATTAAGTTAACATTTGTTAGAGACCTTCCTCAGCTCCACGAGGCTGTTATTATTAATTACATTTAATACATCAACACCCAGCTATTCATCAGGATCAGAACTCTACAGGGCTGAGAGTCAGAACAGGTAGCAAACGCCACACTGTCCTGGATTCAGAGTTTTCTGTCTGAGCAGATGAGAATAACAGGAGACAGAATAAAAGAAATCTACCATAAAAACCTATTATGAAAACTGCAGCAAGAAGCACCTTGGTATACCTTTTTGGAGGATAGGTCAAAGGAACAAGCGACAGATTAAAAAGCGGCAGAAGAGCTGCACTAAAATAAATTGGAGGCAATTTGGGAAGCAACTGAGGCAATCAGTCCCCAGCACAGAACAAACCCAACACTGCTCATTAATCACCATCATCTCACCGTTAAGCTGTACTGACTGTGCTTAATTTCATTCTCTCACATCCTCTTCCACCAGCACAGGTAACATCCACACAGGTCTTTCTGTCCCAAAGGACACAAGAGACCCAAGACAACACAAGTGTGGAAGCTGCTGGAGTTTCCAACTGAGCCATCAAGCTGAGAACAGGCTTCACTTCTGCTCCTGACTTGCTTCTATTGCTACTAAATTCAGTAACAACCTACTGGAGCCTTGTTACATTGTTGTACTGGTATAAATAGTTGTCACTGGCTTGGTTGCAACAGCAAGTGCTCTCAAAGCAAGAGTATTTCACTACTGCTGCCTGCTGACTGACCAGAGATGGGCACACATGTTACAGAAAGTCCACAGGACACTGTGGGGTGTGAGAGAAGGTATTCAGTGAATTTCACTGAATTTTAGAGTTGGAAGGGACCATAGAGACCATCTAGTCCAACTCCCCTGCTGAAGCAGGATTGCCTAGAGCTTGTCAGAGCATGTTACTCAGGAGCATCCAGGTGGGTCTTGAAAATCTCCAAGGAAGGGGACTCCACACCCTCCCTGGGCAGCCTGTTCCAGGGCTCTGTCACCCTCACCATGAAGAAGTTTCTCCTCATATTTGATTGGAACCTCTTATGTTCCAACTTGTGCCCGTTGCCCCTCGTCCTCTCACTGGGAACCACTGAAAAGAGTCTGGCTCCCTCCTCCTTCAACCCTCCCTTGAGATACTTGTAGGCATTGATAAGGTCTCCCCTCAGCCTTCTCTTCTCCAGACTAAAGAGTCCCAGCTCTCTCAGTCTCTCCTCATAAGGGAGATGCTCTAATCCTTGAATCATCTTTGTAGCCCTACGCTGGACTCTTTCTAGTAGTTCCCTGTCCCTCTTGAACTGGGGAGCCCAGCACTGGACGCAGTACTCCAGTTGTGGCCTCACCAGTGCGGAGTAGAGGGGGAGAATGACCTCCCTTGACCTGCTGGCCACACTCTTCCCTGCAGCACAGGCTCCAGCTGAGGACACCCAACACCTAGGCTCAGTCCTGCACGTGCCTGTTGAAAAGACACCAAGCTCTTCATCTATACCACAAGCCAGGCACAGATGTTAAAGCACATAATACACTCACCAAAAAGACATGATATGAGGCACAAAAGCACTTCAACAGCCACATTAGGGAGCAGATTTCCCAGGATAGGGACTATGCTGGATCCCACAGCCCCCAGAGCTCGGTACCGGGCAGGCTCCAGTCTGCACAACGATAAGCCTCAAGAGGCCCAAGGCCGGTTGGAGCTGTCAAACCGGTCACTACGCGGCTGCTACCAGAAGTCTCAAAAAATGGTTTCCAGGCACATTATTCCCCCACTTCACCGGGCTACGGCTCTTCACAGCACCCTCCTGGGAACTCGCAGCCCCACGGCGGGGTAGGCCGGGGCACCCCCGCGGCGCGTGGAACCGCTCCGGCCATGGGCCCACCGAGACTAGTGGCCGCCTGGGGACGGCCCCACAGGCGGCTGACGCCCAAGTCAGCCCTCCCCACAACGACCACCCCGTCCCGCCGCCAGGCCCCGCCGCCCCTCACCTGCACACCCGGTAAGCTCCGTTACCGGAAGCCCGCGCAAGACATGCTGGGAAACCTCCCTCCAGACTTCAAATCCCATGAGACTCCGCGACGGAAAGGGAAACCCCGCCCTCTAACACATGTGGACCAATAAACGGTGCCGCTGCGTGGAGGCGGAGCCAAAGCGAGCCAATGGAATTCGGGCTCCGCGGGAGGGCGGGCGGTTCTAGCGGGCGGGGCGGACCCGAGCCAGTGGCGGAGGTACCGGTTGGGGGGGGAGTTGAGAAATGAAGAGTCGGTTCGCTTTACCCCGCTGTCAGGACGCCAGCCGGGACTGAGTGGGACGGTGGGGAATCGGAGGCGCCCGGGTGGGTGCTGTGAGTGTGAGGAAGGCGGCGGAGGGGACGGGGGCACCGGCGGAGGGGAGCGGCGGCGGCGACGGGAGCTGGGGCAGCCGCCGGCCGCGTTGCCATGGCGACGGGGGGGGCGCAAGCTCAAGGGCGCATGCGCCTGCGCCGCCGCCATTTTGGTGGCTGCGGGGAGTTCCTTCAGCGGGTTCCTTCAGGGTGTCCCGTCTGGGACTGGGGGTCCTCAGACATGTCGGTGTGGTGTGATAAGGGCTGAGGGCAGGGAGTAGCTCATCCCCCGCCCTCTAGCAGGGCTGCCCGCCCGCCGGCATCGCCCCGACGCCAAGGTTTTGTTTCCTGCCATTGCCCTCCTCGTCTTGGCATCGCCCTCCTTGCCACTGTGTCCAGCCAGCGAGGCTCCAGAGATGGACGTGACACGGAATGTCAGTTCTAGTGACATGGAGAAGCTCAGGATTTCACATCTCAATTGGCCCAAGCTCTCCCGAGAGCACCTATTGTGTTACAGATGTCTAACAAGTCAGCACTTTGTTAAACAGAGTACAGCTTGCTCCCAGAGAAGATGCTGGATGAGACGACTGATAAGTCAGATCCAGTATAACATCCCTAACCTTGGGAGACTGACCTTCTCTCAAGCTGGCAGAGGGAACCACAGTAGGCAGTTTGCTTTTATCCACATGGGACTCGTCTTGCCCTCAGCAACCGTTTTTACTGACAGAGGATAGTTAATCCAACCACGGGCTTTTCCCGCCATTTTACCTAAATTAGATTCAGGGGTTGTCTTGTGTGAACAAAGGAGCCACTGTTAGGGAAGGCCCATGAAGTATTTGCAAAGGCATTTTTCGAGTTGTAAACTCCCCGAGCATGAGATGAGTTTCACTTTATGTGTAGAGGAGTATTACTGGTCCATGCCAATGCAAACAATAGGGGCAGTGTAATCATATGAACAGTTATTTCAGTACTGAACAACATACAGTCACAAACCTCATAACCTTTCTCAACAAACAAATGATGTACTCCCACATTTGATTCCCCGGGAAATGATGCAATCAGAGCATAAAATTTAAAATTGCCGTGAGGATTAATTATCTGACTCGTTAGTACAGTGATAGTCCCTCCTGTGTTGCCTCGACTCCTCATGTACATCAAGGAAAACATGAGGAAAGAGTCCGCTTTACAAACACTTTGAGAGGGCAGAATCCAAGAGTGTGCCTACTTTCAACTGTTTTTATAGAAATCCAGTGACAAAACCCAAACATAAATCATTTTATCTATCATTTGGGCAGTGAGGAGGGAAACATGAGACAAATAGGAAAGAGGGGAAAGGACCAGCTGAGAGTAGAGGTGTCAGCCTTGCCTTTGCAGGCAGTGTGAACGTGCTTTTCTGAGAAGACAGTTACAAATCAGCCTGGGTGAGAATCCCCAGAATCCTTTATAAACGAGGGGCTAAACCGTCCCTCACGTGGCCCTAATTATGGGTGTCTGTGGTGAGCAGGGCAGAAAGCTCTCAGCCTTCTGGACTCAGGTGGGAAGGAACGACTCCAAAAATGCAGATTTTATCCTTCACTGCTGACAGTGAAAACCTGCTCAGTGGGAGTGCTGAGCATTATGCTGACCCTGAATGCACACGCTTTGCTCTTGCTTTGTACTGATGTTATCCCTTGTGTTCTTTTGTGAGGTGTACTTACGCTCATCTTTCATTTGATTGAAGGGAAGCTGTTGGAATGGCCTCCAAAGGGCAAAGTGAGGGTACAGAGCATCCATCTGAGCCTCCTGCAGCTCCTCTTCAGAGTAACAGAACATTTCAATGGGGAGCCATACTCGCTGCCGTGAAAGATCAGCTGCCTTCTCTGGACTCTGACACCTCCACAGTAAGCGCTGGAACCTGCCTTTTCTTCTTCACTGTCTTTTAGAAAAATCTCTCAAAAGCCCTTTAGAAAAATCTCTCAAAAGATCACCTTAGCCAGGCATTTCTGAGTATCCTTGATGGGCTGCTTGTTCTGACTGTTGTAACACTGTGCATTAATCCACAGCCTTCTGCATTATCCCTAATTGTCAAAGAGTTAATTGCCATCTCCTCTTGCTGTATTCTTTGGAATCTGAAAATGGGCCTGATTTTTCCAGAGGATAAGTATTGCTAGGCTGGGGAGAGGAGGGTAGTGGGCATCTTATGGAATGAGCCCACATTTCTAATTAGTTTATCCAGTTAAAAATACAATATGAAAGGAGCATACTGCTGATTTACAATTAAATTATAAGGTTTTATCTTTGAGAGTATTATGCTATTTGTTCCAATAATGTATTTGTCAGAAAGTAGGCCTGTTGATAGGTTTTTCTGTGTACGAGGATCACAGGAAAGTCATACTTTGTGGTCCACTCAAAAAAAAACCTTTGGCAGATATTTCAATCCTGGATTCTCCTTTTTTTTCCTGCCTGTAATTCTCTGCAAACCATGTTGCCTTTTTATGCTTCAGTTCTACCTGCAAAGAAGCGTAATGCCACTAAGCTTTTAATAAGCATAAGATGGATAGATGTTGTGCAGTGTTCTTCACTGTTACAGTTTTTTACTTGCTGGGTCTTAGTGTCTGGGACAGGCTGCCTCTTGGCTCTGAAGACCTCTGTTCACGGGACAGCAACAATCTGGTGGAAAGAATAAAAGTGCCTGCTTCTACCCCAAGATGCTGGCTCTGACATTGACTTTTCCAAGGTCATAATGTGTCTCAAGACTCAATTATTAGTGGGGTTTTGTCCAAAATATTTTTTTTAATTTTAAATATTATACACCTGAAAAATATTTTTGAACACTTAAAGGATATATTTTATTCTAAATTAGTGTGGTCCTTAATGATACAAGGGGAGTCTTGTGAGCAGTGAAGGAGCTGGGAAGGCCTCCGCGGGGTATTTATTACTTATTATTAATCAGTCCTCAGAAGCAGTTTGATCTATTGGATAAAGTGTTGATGCAGATTCCATGACTTGTTTTCTGCACCTGGCTCTATCACTGACATGTTGGACATGTTATATTGCCTCCCTGTTTCTCAGTTCCCCTCTAACATACATTCTCTTTCAGTTACTTATACAACCATTGCATTTTAATACTTGTCTATAAAGTATAGATTAAGGCCCAACCCTCAGAAGTTATTTTTTCAGCATTCTTGTTGTATAAACATACAATAAGGTTAAGACAGAGAGAGAGTGTTGTACTTTGGTGCCAGATACCATTCTATAACTAAATCACATTGAACAGTTTTGTACTTATGAACATTCTTCAGATTCTCTGTTTCTATTACATGTGGAAAAAATGTCCTGCTGAAGGAGGTCTCTTTGGCACTTAGACACTCCCCTCAATTTGCATTCAAAAGACCTGGCTGTATAATCCTTCTCCTGCTTAATGTGAAGCAGTGGCCTGCTGAGCCTGCACTTTCTGTGCTGCACCTCTGTCCCAGCGGCTTCCACTTGTGTGAAGATAACATTTCTGCATCTGAGATCTGTAACCTCACCGGGCTGCTCTCCCGCCTCTGGAAAGGGCACTGACAAATGTGTTTTATGCCCTGAAGTACTTTCATTACCCTGATATGCAATTTATTAAGAGGGAAGAAATTCTGTTGCAGTTTGCTTCGTGTTAGGAGAAATTAATTATACTAGACAGAGAGAATTCTCCAAAGTGCGAGTTACTGAAAATCTACATTTGCAAAACAAAGGGACAAGCAGGAAATCTGGGGCCCGACTGCTGAGGAGGTGCTTAAGTTCACTTTGGTGTCTATGCATAAGGATTCATCTCAAATACGTGTCTTACATTTATAAGAGAGATTTTTCAAAGCTATTTAAACTCTGTCCAACGCAATATAGATACTGCTTTGCATTCTAAATGGTGAACGTCAGGGTCCTGATTGCAATAATAAGCCTTCATTGCCATAATAAGCCTCACCTGGGGCTCCCACCCACATGCCCAGCAGCTCTATTTAACATCAGCTGTGGGTCTTCAGTCCTTCTTTGAGCTGTGTTGAGGGAGGACTGGTTTCTAGCTATGGCCTTGTATGAGCTAGACTTCTATCTGTGAATTGACTTTCAGGGTTGGTCTCTGACCATCACTACTACAATATTGTCTTGTGATCTTGACTTGACCTGGTCACTGGTTACCTCTCTGGGTACCATGGGGCTGGGTTTTGACTGGTGGGGCCCTTGTCTTTCCAGTTATTGGCTTCCCTTCCCTTCCCTTTGGGAGCAGCCCTGCTTTTGCAGCTCTGTGGTGGTGAATGAGGTAGCACAAAGAATGACTTAGGAGTTAGAGAACTTGCCCACTTTTGTCATTACTGTGTTCCATGGTAATTCAATGTTCTACATGTTTTTTTGTAATTTTAGCTTTCTTAAATGCTAGGCCACTGTAGGACAGCCTAGATTGCTATCAGGCTGTATGGTAAAGATGTGACTGCAAAGTTCTTGTTTCTGAGCTTCAGTCAAGTGGTGACAATGTAGGATTTGTTACTGTAAAACAAATATTTAGGTGACTATTACAGTATTTCATTTAATTTAACGTTTGTTTGTTTGCTTGTTTGCAGTCTGATTGTGAGAGCGATGGGGAGCTTTTCATCTTCCAGCGGGAACAGCCAAACCTCATTCCTGACCTGTCAGAAGAACTGATGGAGTTTTCCCTGGAAGACTCAAACCTGCAGGTTGCTGACTGTTGTGTGCAGGCTGTGCTACTGTAACCCCACTCTTCTGGTTGTCCCCAGTGTGGGTGGCTGCTGTTATTTGACTGAACTGTGTGATAGAAGAGCATAGTCTCCAGTGTTTTCTCCCATAAGAGATTAGGTCTTTCTCTTGGTTTTAGACCCTTTTTGTCCCATCTTGCAGTTTTTATTATTGTCCTTTTACTGTTTTTTTTTTTCCCTGGGCACTAACAGTGACACTGTGTGATGACTCCTAAATTTGTCAGGGTCTGAAATAATTTCAGCCACTATTTTGTGGTTCTAGAAAATGGAGAATTAGTTAGGGCAGTGTAGTAAGGAGGATGAGTATGAAATTTATCCCTTGAACAGCTTTTCTGAGATAAAGTGATCACCTTGCTTCATCAGTGATGCCATCATAGGAAGCTGGAAGAGGAGCCAGGTGACCCTGCTGTTCCACCGTGGAAAGACTAATATTGTGCTGCTTTTTCCATGTTGTTTATCTTGGTGTAAGATAAGTCATATGATGAGCACATGCAAGGAAAAGTAATTTCAAGGATGTTTAGCACTTCCTGAAGTTACAGTTTCTGGAAAGTAAACAGTTTTCCATGATGGATATGGTGTGTGCTGTTACCAGATGGTGGCTGAGTCGGAGCTGCTATCTGCCAATCACTTAGTTTTGGTTTACTTTCAGCTTCTAAAGCTTAGGGAGATGTGACTTTCTGCATGTCTTTATTTTCTCTACCTGTAGCAAGCCCAGGAAACGGAAGGATGCCCATGGGGGAGCTGGAATGGAGATGTGGAAAGTTCTGGCTTTCAGAAAAAAACAGATGGTGCCCAAGTCATCATGAAAGAAGATGTACAAATGATTAAAGTTGAGACTTCCAGTCTTGCCAGCCATACTGGAGAAATTCCAAGCCAAAAGGGAGCTGTTATTGAAAAATCTCTTGTAGATTCCACAGATCACCTTGAAGAGGAAGAACTGGGCAGGAGACAGGCCAGGGAAGGAGGGAACTCTTGGTTTAATACAACACTGTCTATGGAAGAGCTGGGCAGTAAAAAAGAGAGAAGAAAGCTGATAGAGACAAAGATACTCTCCAAAATAATTCTGGAGCCATCACCAGGTCACCCAGAGCTAGATATTAAGCCTCCCTTGCATGGTGTTAGCAAGAATCTAGAAAGAATTGTGAAGGAGGAAACCTCCTCAGACACCCATGTTCAAGAACTGACCCATTTGTCGTTGCAGGTGAGTGGCCCACACAAAGTTTGGGGAGTTCTGCTTGCAGGGTAGAGGACATGGTGTGTTGCTTGCAGAATCCTACTGAAATAAATAACTGAAATGCCAAATTCTGCACACACCACAGTGTTCTTTGCTGCTGTCATTTTGGGTTTTGTTGGGTCACTTGCTATATAAGTGACCAACAAAATTGCTTGGGTCGACCAACAAAAAAGCCATGGGTCAGCAGCGTGGCTGATGGTCTTGTCAAGGAAAGCCAACTACAACATCTGCCCCTAGAAAGACAGGGATCTCTTCTGTTCCCAGGCAGACTTGCAATTAAAACAGTGATTTTTCTGGCCTTCCACCATCTTGTCTTTTCTGTAGCACTGTGAGCTGAGAGAAGGTGGTTAGGGTTGTTCCTGAAATCTTGGAATTTTTTCCCTCTAAGGCAGGTGTGTAGGTCTGTGGAATAACCAGCTTGTGTCTGCTTAACTGGTATGTGGAGAGGTTGTTCTTTCCAGTGCTATAGTTATAGATCTTTACTTCCTGCATTGATTTTTAAGGTCACTAGGACTTAATCAACACAGAACATGAACGTGATATTTCTGTTGAAAACCTTCTATGGAGTCAGAGGGCAGATGTCTCCTTTTCCCTTTCATCAATGCTCACGAAAATAAACTTTTGGTGATAGAGCAGATCTAGCACAGGCAAAGAATGCAGGTGTTTGGAGGGCTTTGTGTTTGGTGGGTGTTTTTTTTTATTAAATTCTGCTGCATCATTTAATCTTGCCATTATTGGAGAGGATCCTTTTTCAAACAGTTCTAGGTTTAATTTCCATTTCACCTTATGGAAACTGACTTACAGTTGTTCTGTTAATTCAGGGGGCTTGATTTTTCCTTTCAGAACCTGGTTGGTATCACTGACTTCGATGAACTGAAGCCTGATCCAGGCTCAGTGAATCCTCACTTTATGAAAGTGAGGACAAAGCTGTAAACTTTACGTTCATAGTGTATGTTTTTAGATTTGAAAGCAGCTTGTTACTTCCCAGCTCAGGAAAGTACCTCAGTTTATATCAAGTAAAGTTGTTAAAACTAATATATGGTTTCTTCTTGATTCTAATCATATTGGTTCATTTGGAAATTACTTTTTTTTTCCCTAAAGTGTATTTGGGTCCCTTTCTACGTTAGAAATGAAATTGTACAAATCTTAATTTCTTTTTCTTCTGGACCCTGCATAGTACCTTACAATAGTCCTGTTCCTGGTAAGGTTTAGGAGATTAAAACCTTAATACAGCAGGTTAAATGGTAGCTTGGTTATTTTTTTTTTTAATTATAATGGTTTTTATTATAATGGGTTTTTAAGCACTGTTACTGAAAAAGGAGCTTGGTACAAACTGCATTGTAATTAAAGCAAATGCATATGTTTTCTTTCCCTTCAGGCTGTTTGGTACAACAGCAGCTGTACTGCCCTGTGACGTTGTCTTGTTGTCAGTCATTCTTCACTCTTCCAGACCAATACATCCCAGTGACATTGTTGAACCAGCATTAGCTTTGTGCTGGTGTGAGAGCCCTCAGCTTGTGGCTCTCATCAGGCTTTTACCTTTCATCAGCTGCAGTATGTAATATTAGAATAGATCTAATCATGGTTCAGGTACAGGTGAAGATTTATTGCTCAGGACAAAGTGAGAATCTTCTCTTAAATGGGAGGAGGAGATGACAGAGGTTTTTACAGGGGAAAACTGCTTGTTTTGGAGACTGCTGCTGTTTTTCTAAAGCCCTTGAGTGGTCATATGAAATGCATATTGGTTAGAGTCGTGACATAATTGTCCTAATTGAAAGACACCTTTTAAAAAAATAATCACAAGTACTTCTAAGTTTGGTGATGGTATTTCAGATGGATGTGGAATATTTTTAATTAGGACTTTCATTTCCAGTAATATTCAGAGGGGGGAAGCAGTCAGTGTTTTAAACACACGTGAACTGATTCTCATACCTGAGTTAGCAGCGTGTTTTACTGTCTCCAGTGGTTCTCTGTACCCTGTGTCAAAAGGGTGCATGATTCTGAGAGAACAAGCCTGAGCAGAGGTAGGTGAAGCACCTGGATAGATGCAATGTCTAAAGAGATAAAGTAAATGTGTTCCTCTTACTGGAACTGCTTAGAGCAAGGGGGCACTGTAGTGAGGGACATCACCCTTTGGAGGTGGTGAAAGGGTGAGGAAAGGTGCTTGGAGGGATGAACAGAGGGGGAAAAAAAATGTATGGGTCTGAGGGATGAAGAAGAGCACTTGCTTTTGGAAAGACTCCACCCTGTGAATGCATGGGGAGGACATAACATGAGTTATGTCCCAGTTTATGGTGAGATGGATCCGGTGGATATTTAGGATGGACTTAGGTTTCTCCTTTCAAGGAGGTATCATTTCAGTCCATTCTAGAAACATCTTTTAGACTTTGCAGTTTTAAGTGTGGAAGAAGGAGGTACTCCAGCTTTGTTATATTTGATTAAGCATTGGTTAATCCTTCGCTGGTTTCTCTTAGTAGTTACACTGCACTTGCCTGTGCCAGATGTGCAGAGCCTTGGCAATGATGTGAGCTAAGCCACATCCAAACAGTAAATATCCCTTTGTTAGTCGTGAGGCTCATGTTGAAGCAACTGTGTCCAAAATAACACACTGGTTCATCTACCAGCAAGTGACAGTGGCATAGAACTGGAGGTAAGTGAGGTGAACTTCAATGTTATTTATGTATTTTTATGTGGCAGAAAAATCTGATGGAGTTACAACAAAGAATGTGAGTCAAAGGAACTTTTATTTGTAGCAGTCTCTTGGGAGTGAATTTTCCATTACTTTTCTGCTGTTTTCTTTCAGAATATTGAGAAGTGGGATCTAGACAAGATTCTTGAGGAGCTGGAGCAGCAGAAAGAAAACACTTGTGCAGAAGTTGCTTTGTCCTCAGCAGATCATGGTAACATTGCTGAATTAATACCAACTTTGCTGAAAGTGTGTTTAAAAAAAGAAAACTACTCAGGTTCCCCTGGTTAAGTAATTCCCTGCAGCATCATCTTGAATGTTGAAATGATAGTGGGTTTTCTAAAGCCTCTGTAAAATATTTTTAATTAGCTTCCCTCAAGGTCTCATCTACTTTCATAGCTTGAAACCAGTGTTTTGTGGCCTGTCATGGCTTAAGAGTGAATCAGACAAAATGGATGAAGGTTTGAAGTGAGTTAGAGCCAGAGGACAACAGTGTCTTTATCCTTCCCCTTCTGTCAGGCGGTAGAGAAAGGAACAATGTGAAAATGGGGAAAGGGTATACTGGGTGATCCCATGGCAGAAGCCCACAACTGGTGATTCTTTTTGGTGCTTTTCTATAGGGACCTTCAGGAGTAGGTCTGAAAATGAGCTGATGGAAAAGCTGGAAGAGTTGTCTGCCAGGCATTCCAGGACGGTGCCTCCACGCTGCAGGTGGCCACCAGCCAAGCTCTCCTCCTTTCAAGAACAGCAAGAGAATAAGAAGTAGGTCCTTTTCTGTCAGATACACTGGGTAATCATGACTGCCAGTAGGGAAACTAATGGTGTTCTGTAGGTGTTTTTCTGTGTAGCCTCTGCAGAAAGCTGATATCATAGTTGGAATGTGCTGCAGGATGTTGAAAGGAAGAATAATTACAACGTGATTATTTGCATACATTTAATGATAAACAGTCAGTATCCTGCCACCTTAGTATTTTCCATCAACCACCACCTTTGTCTGGACCTTACCAGACACTTGGGACAAATGGGAAAGGCAGGAAAACAAGGCTAAGCAAATTATCGTTGCCACATTTTTTTGAAACATGTCACCAGTTTCTCTTACTGGTACCTCAATTTAGCTAAAGCATATAGGGTGATTTTTTTATGTAGGTATCAGTGGAGGTTTCAGTGCATCTTGGTGGGTTCTGTGTGAAATAAATGGATTTCCTGGCTGTTGAGGGGGAATAACATCAATGGTGGCAGCACAGAAGAAACAGCAGTGAAACAGGCCTGTAGAGGGGAAGGTGAAAAGCCTCCTCATTGCCAGAGCAGGGAGAGCTATGGAGATGATTTACACTTTATATGCTCTGAAGGATAAAATAGAATTGGCAAAGGAGGCTGAAAGGAAAAAGGGACCTGTTTTTACTGATTGACACTGGGCTCTTAAAACTTGTGAGCTCTTTGGTACCATAACTGCCTGCTTTTGTTCTACAGAACGATTTGACTTGTCAGTTTTTGAGAACTAAATATCCCTCCTTGGGCTGCCTGTGATTTGTATTCCTCGGGGGAAGCTGAATCTTTGAGTTGAGCTTGGAAAGGTGGTGGATGGTAGGCAGAAGCAGAGTTGGAATCTGTACAGTAGCCAAGCACAAAGCTCCTCTCACAATCTCCAATTTTGATCATAATCCACGCCCTGCAGGACTTCTTGTCTGGATAAGGTGGAGGATATGCTGAAACAGTGTTTTTTATACTTAGGGATGTTGCCTTGCTGTCATCTTCGTGGAGTTCTGGAAGGATGGATGTGATGAGATTCCAGTGCCTGCCAGAGCCGGGAACCGTGTACATAGATTTAAGAGATGCTAAACCACACAAGTCAGTAACATCTCCTGATGAGGAAGAAAGGTAAATTCTGGCTTTATTCTTAGTGAGACACGAGTAACAAAAAGTAGGAAACTGAAACCTTCTCTCTACATCTCGTACTTGTGAAATGTAACTTTCAAAGTGTTGTCTTCTTCCACACCTCAGTGACCTTAGTGGGAAGGCATAGCTCCTCTTGGAGCACGGATGTATTTTCAGGAGAGAATAACTTGTCTCAGGAAAAGCAAATGTGTGGGGATGCAGGCAGCACAGAAGGGACATGCAAATCATCCAGGGAAATAACATTTAGAAAGTTGCCATCTATAAAGGAGTGGGCAGTGAGTGGCTGCAAAGCAATGCTTGAAGCTGAGTTGGGCTGCCATTCTGACAGCCCAAGGAAATGGGCATCCTTGACTACATTCCTGGCAAGCAACTGGAGGAGCTGATTTCTGTCTCCTGTGTGATAAGAGGGCCTTATATAGTTAGTTATGGGAGGCCAAATTCTTCTCAATCTGCAAAAGATTCTGGGAAATGTATCTTCTAGAGCTAATTGTGTCCGAGGTAGCTGTTGGCTCCCTTCTCAGGATGCATATTTGCTGCAGCAAGGGGTTGAAGAAAACAGTCACCAGAAGAAATCTTGTAGTTAATAAGCAGCTAAAACATTTTGATGTAGTAGCTTGAATATTTTTCTAGAGTAATAGTGCAAAGAACTATCTGTAACACCTGGAAGCATCTTTACGAACACATTTTTCGTAATGGTTCTAAATTTGCATCCTAGAAATGATGAAAAGCCAACACCCAGTTGGAACAGAGTTAACTAATGTGCTCTAATTTGTTTCATAGTGCAAGCGACAGCTCCACTGAAGAAGAGGAGACAATTAAGGACCAAGCAGAAAGGAGAATGTAAGACTCTTTATGAGGATCCTAGTTCAAATGATACGATGTTCATTTTTTCTGAAACTAAAATAATTGCTCGAATAGCAATTAGAGTGAGCATTCATGTTCTGAAATAACTCCATTCTTGGTCTTCACAGAAAAAAAAAAAAGCCCAATAATGAAAATGCTTCAGTCTGGCCCCAGGATATCACTCTTTTCTGTTGCATGGTAAAGATACCAAAGCTAGAAAATAGTTGTTGGTCCTTGAGACAGCACTTTGCTCCTCTGCAGCTGCATGGAACCAGCTCAGAAGACAAAGAGTAGCCCTGGGTGACTGTGAAACCTGCTTCTTTCTCCAGACCTGTTGGAGTGACATGGGAACTGTTTTTTAAATGATTCAGAACCAAACTTTGAAAATGTTGTAGGGAGTTGACTCAGATAAACCTTTATTTTTAGAAAAAATAAAACAGGCTAGAACGGATGTTGATTTAAAGAGAATATTGAATACATTGTGTGGGCAGGGATGCTATCAATTCTCCTTAATTGGGTGGAGAGGAAGGGAGGAAAGGGGAGAGAGTGTGATGGGTGGAATCCTAAACTGTAAATTCTTCAATAGGCACAGATGCCAGCCTTTTCCTGTTGCTAAACTCAGGGTTTGATTCATACCCATAGGTAGTTGGGCATTTGTTTAATATGGAGCAGATATGTCAAGCTTTAAACATCTTACTGCATTTATGCTCTGGATTACATTTAGAAGCCTGATGCGCGCAAGTTCACATTACAGCAGTGCAGAGGACAAGCAAGACATTTGTATTGTGGTGCCAACCAATTACTCTTAGTCTTTTGGTTGTTTTTTTTAATAGTTTGAAAGAATAAATGATTCGGCAAGGAACAGAGCCTGAACACTCAATATAATTTAGAATATCTAATACAAAGCCAGCATAAAGCAGGGACAAGATGATGCCTGGGGAGCTCTCACTGGCACCGATGCAAATGCAGAAGTCACATCAGTGTAAATCTGGAGTGATGGAGAATAGAGCTTAGCTGATTGGATTTTGATTCATTTTAATGTTGCTAAAGAACATACATAAATGAAATGCCTGGTAAACATTATTCAGTTCTGTTTCTAAATAAAAAAGCTTTATGGTCTCAGCAGGGCAAGATTCTGATCTCATTCCTGAGGGGTCAATGCCAGTTTCAATCTTATCTGGATGGAATTATTTTCAGTAGTGCCCAGTGACAGGACAAGAGGAAATGGGCACAAACTTGAATATAAGAAGTTCCATCTCAACATGAGGAGGAACTTCTTCACTTTGAGGGTGGCAGAGCCCTGGAACGGACTGCGCAGAGAGGTGGTGGAGTTTCCTTCTCTGGAGACATTCAAACCCCACCTGGACACGTTCCTGTGGGACCTGCTCTGGGTGACCCTGCTCTGGCAGGGGGTTGGACTGGATGATCTCCAGAGGTCCCTTCCAACCCCATAGCATTCTGTGACTCAGGAGACTGATTGAACAGAACTTGAAGACAAAATAACTGTATCTGCCCATTATGTCACGACAAGACACTCGTCAACAGAATACTATCACAACATTGTGGTTGCAAACAGTTCAGCATCTCATTAACTTGAAGGAGACACAGATGAAATGAGGCCAAACACTTAAAAATCCTCGGAATTACTATAAGAACTTTTCTTCTGTTTGTGTTTGAGTCCCAATCCCTGTATCCAAAGGGGACAAAAATCTGTGGACTGTAATTTCTATGCCAACACTACATTTGTTCAGGCCTCTTCTAGTGGGTGTGCATTTGTACCTCAACTCCAGAAGAGGTAAGGAAATTGCCAGGAAGATTGATTTTGTGTTTTGTTGCCATAGTGTTTTATGTGTTGCTGGTGCTGCTGTTACCAGTAGCTATTATTTGCGTAGATGCCCCATCCTAGTTTTGAACTGTCACTCACATGAGAAGTTCCTCAGAGTTTGAATTGATTAATAAAATGCTCTATCTTGATTAAATCGGTGTTTTATTTTCTTTGCAGGAGGAATTGCTCAGGGAAAAGCCGGCTACTGCAACAACTCCGTAGAGCCCGGAAAGAAGCCTCAGAGCTTCTTCCTAAAACATCTATCCCAGATGAAAAACTTGAAGGGATAAAACAGGATCCAGAAAGTCCAGAAGAGACAGGTTTCTCTAAAATAAGTCAAAAGCAATATTTTAAAGTAAAGCAAGAGATAAATAAAGCAATTCCCAGGACACTGGTGAGATTGAAACCAGAGAAAAGAAATAGCACCTTGACAAACCATGGGGACAACGGAGCTGACATAGAGAAAGAAAACAAAATGGAAGCTGAGAAAGTTCAAAGTTCAGGAAATGCTCCAGAGTCTCCTCTAACTGCGACAGAATGGCCAAGGTATCACAAGAAAAAGTCAGCAGTGGCTTTGGTTATGGCTTATCTAATTGTTTTAAGATTAAAGAACATTACTTATCTAGTCTGTAAATTGGAGCAAAAGGGTGTCTGGTTTTGTTACCTGGAAAGTCAGCCAGTCCTGGCAGCTACTGTTTAAAGATGTGGAGGCAGCCAGACTTAGCAGATCAGTGAACTGGCCTGGGATTAGCACTTCTGACATAGTAAATTTACCCATTTTCTTTAGTTTCTATTCTATCTAAGAGGAGGATAAGATGCTGTTGATCTCCTGTATGAAGAGCAGTACTGGGATTTACTAAGCGTAGCATCATACAAGATAGGCCTGGAAGGGGCTGTCTCCCTGTACCAACATAGTGAGGTATAATCCAGTCCTTTCCTGGCAGATCTTTAACTTGGTCTTGATCTCCTCAATGGGAAGGATTCCTTGACTTAGGTAATAAATTTGGCTGCTTAATTATCCTTACAGTTGTAAAGCTTTTCCTTAAGTCTGATTTAAATTATCCTATCTCCAGTTTAAGCTTATTTTTTGTTGTGCTCCCAGGAGGTATGGAAAATGGTTTATTCTATTCCCCAGCATAAAAAGCCTTTTACAAACTGGAAGATGCTCATGTTTCTCCTTGTAACTTTTCCCAAATGAAGCAATTCAGACTCTGAGAAGAGTGCAAGAGTTTAGAGGGACAAAGTATACCCCTGAGGAAGGCGTTATACCACAGGAGTATCTTGGAAAGCTTTTAAAAAAAACAAACACCAAACCACAGGATAAATAAGAATGGTATCAAATGTGAAAATAGCAGAGTTATTTCGGCCTCTGCCTCCTTGGGCTTAGTTTAATGCAGTGTATTCTGCATAAGGTCTAATTTTAAAGTGAAATCAGGTGGTTGCCTTATGCACCTGCCCAGCTATTTGAGAGGGCTCCATTATACCGACTTTTCAAAGGTTATATTCTGCCTGCTATTTTCAGAGTGAAATTTAACATTTTGACTTTGACATATGAGCCCTGGAAAGAATTAGAATCTGCCTGCTCTGGAGACTCTTACTTTTTCGGCGTTAAACAGTTGCCTGCCCTGCCACTTAGAGGCTGCAGCTCCTGTGTACTTGGGTTAAATGGCAGATGGTTGGTTGTGGGGTTTTTTTCCCCCTCTATGGGATTCCTGACATTAAAGCTCATCGCTTCCATCAGATCTATAAAATTCCATTTTGTTTGTCTGCCTGCTACCCTGCCACAGAGATGGCAGACCACGGTTTGACAATAATCTGCTTTATTTATTGTTGCTGAGTAATAGCCCATGGTGATTTTAATGAATTTAAGGTTTCTTTGTTGCTATTCTAATTACGGTTGGGGCACCTGGGGCTTGAAGAATTCAGAAGAAATTGAACTTGGTGTTTGCCATGGGAAATGGTGGATGAAATCTTTCTGCAGACATCAAAATACAGAAAGATGGAAGGCCCTGGTTCAGAGGAAACTTGTCACTGTTGTCATAGCAGATAGGAAAGGAAACGGAGTCAGGAGACTGAGAATTTTGGTGTGGAAATGGGGAGTGAAACATCACAAACGCCTCTGCTTAATTGAGTTCCGGTCTCCAAATAGATTGTCACCACTTCTCAGAGGTTTGAGGTCTGCTCCTTCTCTTTGGGTTTTTTTTTGAGAGATGATTTCATCCAATGACAAGTTCTTGTGTGTGTCCCCCACCAAACACGTAAGCGCTTTCTAAATCTATTTTTTACCTTTTGTGTCATGATTCACCCTCAAGTGTGTGGTATAAAGGAAAAAGAAACGCAAACAGATGAACAAGGGGGCTTTTTCTCCCAAGTGAAAAGCTTAAGCGAAGAAGACTCTGTATATTTTTCAGGACAGAAGAAAGTAAAAGAGAGCTATCCCAAAAGGAGGAACAGATGAAAGAGAGACAGAGGAGACAGAGATTCCAGGAGCATCTGGAGAGATTGCAACCTCAGCAGTCAGTTACTGGAAAGCAGCCCATGGCAGAGAAAACCCCCGTTTTGTTCCACATGGTTAGTAGTTCAGCATAGGACTGTCCCTTTCCAATGGCTTCCTGGCCAAATGCAAGTGGGATCCTAGAGGCAAAAAGTAATTTTCATTGTGTTATTTAAAATCTGTTTGTTATGGAGCACCATTACCTGACCAGAGGAACAGTTCTACAGCCCTTTTTCATGCTATATAATATTTTTCTCACCTTTCCTGTGTGAGGAGTGCTCCCCTCACAGCCACCCACCAGCTTTGGTGTGTCGGGCTACGGCAGGAGCCCTGGCTTGCTGAAGTCAGAGGGCTCATCTACTTCATGGGAGCCAGGCTTTCACATGTGATTTCTCATAACTTTTTCTAAAAAGTGAAATATTTTTACTTATATACTTGTAAGGCAAAGCCTATGCCGAGTTCTGGCTGGTTGTCAGCTTTATATTTCAGTTTTGGGGGTAGGTTTGGAGGATTGTGGTTGTAGTAATAGGCTTTGCTTTTGGCTGATGCCCTGATTAAGGGAGTATGAAATTATCCTGATTTTTCCCAGAGCCTAATGTCAGTTTTGGGGGCAGGTTTGGAGGATTGTGGTTGTAGTAATAGGCTTTGCTTTTGGCTGATGCCCTGATTAAGGGAGTATGAAATTATCCTGATTTTTCCCAGAGCCTAATGTATGGCTCAGAGGACAGGGCTGTCTCTCCTCCTGAGAAGATTTGTCTGTGTAGTCCTAATTCATCCCTGCAGTGATGTCACTGAACACAAGGCCAGCTGAGAAGGTAAGAGGAGATGAGAAACTCCAGAATTTGCCCCGTAATGACTTATTTGGGCTATAGCAATAACAAAGCTCTTCTGGCAGTACAAATGTTGAAAGATCTTACAGCCCTGAATTGGGGGATTTATTTGTTTTGTAAGCAATTGACTTCTGTCTTTCTGCAGATCTAAAGCTCATTTTTTTTTTAAACACTGGATTAATTTTTAAACACTGCTGAGAAGTAAAGGACTAACAAACCGAGAGCTGAATTTCCCTCTGCCAGCCTGCTCTGGCCAGGACAGTGCACTGCACAGAGCTGTTCTGAAGGTTATAAAGGTTACGTGTCTTCAGACTTGCTCCTCCCTCAGTCTGTTGGAGGTACCCCCAAATTCCAGTTAGCCCTTCATGAGATGCAGACACTTTACTTGCTCATCAGAAACATCCTTGAGCCTTGTGAACTCATTCCTGCCAATGCACCAGTGGTGATTGCCGGGTTGTTCTGTATCTTGGCCATTTCCCATATTTGCTGTGCTGAAGCCAATGAAATGAAGATAATGGCTTGGTAATGTGGCTCCTCTTGAGTATGGCTCAGGGTATATCTACATCTAGGCTTGCTGCAACTGAATCGTGGTGTAAATAGGCCTGTAATAGCTTTAATGGCATCGCTGCCGGCGGGTCGTGGCAGCACGGACGCTGGCATAAGCCACCCAGCCCAGGATTTACTTCTGATGCCAGAAGGAACAGCTCATTGGTGCCTAAACTAACTGGAGAGAAACCTGCCTGAACTTAGGAGGCACTGTTGATAGAAACAAAATCAGCACAACCCATAATAAGTGTGTTCTGTGGGCAACTTTTGCTTTTAGTTCTTCTTCAGAAGTATTCATTATTAAAATTAAGAATGAAAAATGTATCAGCATCATCTATCAAATACAACAGTCATTTATAAGATTACTTGAAATGCATCTTGACAGCAGCATTTTTTTTTCTTTGAATTAGAACAGGTTTTTTTCTTTTCTTTCTTTTTTTCCCTTTGCTGCACATAGGAAGACAGAGAAACTTGAATGTTTTGACATTTAAAACTAAAGAAGCTGTAATTTGGCAGCTGTGTCTCTCAGTGAAAATATCTAGTATCTATATATAAACATGTATATTCAAAGAGCAAGTCACAGTGTTTGAGGGAGTAGCACACTTTCAAATTTGTTTTTTAAGGCCTTTGTTTTGGCAATGATAGATGTTCAGATCTGGAACACTTGTCATGGCTTCCAGTATTCCTCTGACCATTTATAATGTACATAAATAATTGAATAATAATCAGAGGGAAAGTTTAGAAACTCTGCAATTACTGTAGCTGAGGTACTGGGAAAGAAACGCAAAGGAAATTTAAAAAGCTGCATTAGGGTTACGTTAGAGTCCTTGTCTAAAATTTAAAAGCAGTGAAATTCAGGTTTAATGCTGCTGTCTCTTTTTTTTTTTCCTTAACCCAGTTCAGTCAAACTCTGTTCTGAGCTGTACTCTGTGGTAAGCACTAATAGAAATGAGGATCAGGTTTAGGAAGAACACTTTCAGCACAGTGCAGGGGGCTTAGGAGACTAAGAACTACCCTTCAGAGATACTTCAGCATCTAAAGGGGCTAATATCCAATCGAGGTATTTTCAAGACATGCAAAAGCCAAGTCCTCTGGGAAATCAGTGGGTTCATTCTAAGAATTCTGCCTGTTAAGTTTTTGTCTTTAGGTCTCTGAATACTTTTGCAATCTCCCCCACTTCTTATTTTCAAAAATACATGGAAGAACCTAATTTTTCTAATGATTATTTTTTTTTTCCTGCTCCTCTTCACCACCCAAACTTTCAGTGAAACTTAAGACTGGCCTGAATTGATCTCTGATGAAAATGGGTCCCTGAACCACATTTTAACCTTTGGATCTAATTCAGAACTGAGTCGAGCATCCCTAGTTCCACAGAGTGGTGATGAGATCCGTGCTGTAAGGTCAGGATGAATTAATAGTTTAGAGTAACACACAGAGGGTTTGTTTCAGCATTTGAGCAGTGTTATTGACAAGGCAGACAGAGAGGGAATGTTGTGCAGGATGTAAACGGTCCAGTGGAGGATGTCAAATGAAATGGGTTTGATCTGTGGCTTCATTCATTTGAGTATTATGATAGATTAACTTGGTACTAATGTTCATTTCCATATTACATTCCCATTAGGTGGGATCCAGATAATAGTTGTGACTTTTGCCAGGCTCATATTTAAGTCAGGGAGCAGCACAAGGAGGTTCCTCTGTAAAGGAAACCAAGCCAGGAGCTGGAGATGACAGCAAGGCAGGAGGGGCAGGGACCTTACCAGCAAGGAGTGGAGTCCCACAGTACCCAAATGAGAAAAGCAGAGCAGGGCTGTTGAGGGAAACCAGTGGGCCAGTCTGGGCTAATGAGGTAGGTGCAAGATCAGGGGCCAGAAAGTCAAGTGAGGGACAGGAGTGGGTCTGGTGACAGTACGTGGGGTCAGCCAGCAGCCCAGTGGTCACCCAGGAGTTGTGTAGTGATGAAGCAGGTCTGAGATGAAGCCACAAAGGGTTCAGATGAGGCCGAGCAGAGGTGTAGGTGCAGTGTAGCTCAGCCCAAGACCAAGGGCAAGTGTCTGAGGCTTCGCACAGCTCGTTTCACAGCAGTCTCATCTGAAGTTACACGCCTGAGCTTCAACTGGCCTTGGCCACAGGCTGCTAAACCCCTGCAAGGGTGGTGCTTATGGCCCTGATACTTTACATCCAGCGATGGAATTAATTTAACACAGCAAATAGCACTTAAATTCTTTTAATACTGGGACAAAATAGGTGTTTTCAACAGGGCTTCAGCTTGTTCCTCTCTTTACCTTTATTGCCATATCGTGATAATGGTGGAACAAGATAACATAGTTTGAAAGCTACAAGGAACCACCTTGTTACCCCTACCTTATAAATATTGTTTTATCTGCCTTGTACAGCCAAACTGTTTGGAAAATGAATGTGTTGACTCATACTGAGGCATCTAATTCTTCTTGGCTACACAATCACTTTGGCTAACCTTGGATTAGTAATTCTATTACCCTGATCATCATATTGCAGCTTAGCCTTACAGCAGGCTTACAAAACAAAAACAGGCAGGCATGGAATCGAGTCATTCTATCCTAACAAATAGATTATGCAGGTACTTTCTTTTCTATCTTGTAAACACAGGGTCTATAACCTTTGTGTCAAAATCAGTAGAATTTTAAAATTAACATGCCATTGACTCAGCTTGCTGATTTCAGGTAAAATTCTCAACACAAAGCTTTACTGCTTGCATTCCCACAAAGCTCAAATTAACAATATACTATGATCAGAACCTTCCTTGCCCTTTTACTGCCTTATATTTTCACTTTGATCTGATATCAGTTCTATAGGGGAAAAAAAATCCCTGACAAAATTCCTGGGCCATCCTTACCATCAGGGGTGGTGCTGAAGCACTGGCTGTGCAGTTACTGTGACAGTTACCCCAAATTAGCACATTATGATGAAGTATATTGATGAGCAAAACTTGTAGAAATATTTTTAGTTCAATTATTATTTTTTTTTTCTGTAGTAGGTGCCTTGATCTGCAGAGTTGTCAGTGAAAGGCTTTTGATTCTTTACCCGCCTTATTAAAATAGGTGTCTGTTATTTCCATTACTACTGTGTCTTGATCTTTTTAAGGCAACCAACATTGGAAATTGTCTTTTTTTCTTTTTTTTTTAACTTACCTGAACTCAAAAGATTGTTCAAGGACATGGAGTGTGGGTCCCAGGATCCCAACCCAGCAGTTGACCAGCTGGACTGTACAGTTGGGCATCTCCCCAGCTCCATTGTAGAGCTGCTCACATGGATGCACTTAGGTGATGCCCTAAGCAGTATTTAAGAAGTCTTCATTTTTTATTGCTGTGTGGAAAATGCATAAAGAACTGTAAGAAAATGAAAGTTATGTCTCAGTAGAAAGAATGCACAAGGGCTGATCCACCAGCTATGAAAGGAACAGGTTTCGTGCTAGTTAGGCACAGAAATGCCAATTTATCTCCAACAAATTGGTGCCTTGTACGTATTTGGAGAAGCTGAGGAAAACTGTTGGATCTTCTTTCAGTTATAATGATCTTGTGATGGGGTAACTGATTTTTTCCTGTATCTGTATGACTCTAAAACTGATCTCATAAATATAAATCACTGATCCAATATTCTCATTTACACAGGACCAAAGCAACTGCTACATTTTCACCTGTGTGAGTGTAACTGAACCCAGCATT